TCGATGTTTGGTCATAATTCTCATATTTCATAAGCAAACATTTACGATGTAAAACAATGACTTCATTCTGTAAATCATTATAGAAAAAATAAATGCCAAAAATAATATAACGCCCACACACACCCACCTCTCAACTATACCGATGTTATGAAGAGGAAAGATTTGTATTTTGTATGTATTGAAATAACACAAAAACTACTGAATCGATTTCAAAAATCCTTACCCATTGAAAAGCGACATTATTTGTGAGTAGTATAGGCTAGATTTTTAATTTTTCTTTTAATTTCACTCGGACGACGTCGCGAGCAACAGCTTGTCATTCAATCAAGGCTTAAGTTGAAATTCCGAAAATAATAAAGTACCCATTCTTTGCGATCTCTCATATTTATTAGAGCAGATTAAATCCTCCACGATTGGTACACGCTGTAGCATTTGTGGCTACTTATTCATATAACCGAGTTAGATCATTGTTTGTAGATAATCTTAAAGAACAGGAACTTCCTATTTAACAGCATACCAACGGCTTCCGAGACGACCGCAGTTCGCGACCCGAGCCGAGGTAGAAACGAAAGTGATTACATCAGTGTAAGTAATCACAAGACTTCCAACAAAGTGAGATATCAACAAAAATACGATAATCGTTTGTCGTGAAGTTATATAAATATTTTACTTTACAATATTGTTCTTTTAATCAATTTTCAAATTCTTAAATTGTATACTCGTAAATATGTAGTATGTAGTGTACCCACTATCATAGACATATCGATCGTAAACTAACAGTTTTGTTTTAATTTTAATTTAAACCATGAAATAAGAGCGTATGACCGTGACTCTCCGGATTTAAGCATCCGTTAGCTTCTAGTTACCTTAACTAACATGTTAATATAGGCAAGGATATCCCAAAGGATAAGTCATTCAATATTTATACTCCTACGTTACGCGGTCTCGATTACCCTTTGTAACTATTGCTCACGGCTATCTTCTTGTACAAACGGAACGTTATGATTTATAGGATAGGTTGGTACTAAATATCGATTACTACATTAAAAGACTTTGTATTCGGTTTAAATGTTCAATATTAATCGAACAAACTTCATCCGATTCAGTCAATTCACACAATGTTATGAAAGTAAAAGCTTTTGTTCTTTGTATAAGTTTTAAATTAATAAAAGCTTAACAGAGATTTCGCGTTTAACATGCGATGAAGATAATCGATTGAACGATCAATGCCCTCTCTTTGTGTAACTGTCATCTAACTGTCTATTAAATAGCGTATAATTAATTATTAATCCGGTTAATAATAAATGAAACTTACTTTACGTTATTAATTTTCAATTTGGCTATTATTACGAAAGTGAATTTCTAAGAAAGCAATATTGCGGTAAATTTTATTTTAATGAAAACGTTGACTGATAAATATAAAGCTAGTCTAACTTTACCCAAAGCTCAATCAAAATCAATATTAATAGTTAATATACCACGTGGGTTTACCGTTTTCAGTTTTAACTGTACAGTATGACTATTAGGTGACGTTTATAGTCAAAATCTTAACTATCAGTTAGGCTGACAGATTGTGCAACGTGTGTAGCGGGCTTTATTCAAGTCTTAACAGTTGAAACACACCGTATGATTAGCTCATTCTACTACTTAAACCTGTCTTCTTTTTTGCTTGTTCAGAGTACGGATTAAGCCATGACGTAGTCCTCCGTGTTGATATTGTGGACGCCTATAAATGGGCTAACAATAATTTGCACGCGAATAAGGTTCAAAACTCTGAGCAAACTTGTACTCTAACAGTAAATGAAGTGAAAAAGGTAAAAAAAAAGAGTCGTGCTCAGGTCGTTGCACCGAATTGTGTTATTCCTCGAAGTGTACATTCGATTTGCTGACTAAATGTATCTTTATTTAACGTTTGACAATTCTAATATAAATTACTACCAATCAGTATGATTTTTGGGTTATTAGATTAGTGTGCCTCAGATTATATGAATGTTATAGTATACCAAGAAACCAGCAATAGCCTATAAAGACCGAAAACTGAAACGATAGTCAAGCAATAAACAAAGAAATCATTGTTCTTTATGTAAGTGTTCATAGGTACTTACTATACCTATCATCAGCTGCTACAGTAATGCACAAAAATTATTATTTTAACTAGCTTTCGTCCGCGACTCCGCCTCGTGGAATTAACAAAAAAATAAAAGCGAGTAGCCTATGTGTTCTTTCAGACTATCCTCTGTATGCGTAGCAAATTTCATCGAAATCCATTCAGCCGTTTAGGCTTCAAACTCTAACAAATATCCATCCATTCATCCATCTAAACTTTCGCTTTTACAATATTTTATCATTAGAAATTAATAGGTACTGTTTTAAATGTTTAACATAAATTCGTTTTAAAAATTTAGGGTAGCACTATGCAGTAAAACCTCATGAATACTCTGTTACGTTCACCTTGAGACCGTCCGTCTACGCCGCCCTTGAACTACAGTTTGCGAATACATTATGCCCTGCAAGGAAGAGCTGACAAAAAGAATTTAACAAAAGATACCAATACTTTTCATTCCTTCATTTTGTACTGAGCCGTTAAAGCTTCGAGTCGCGATATGAAAACGGGTAGATATTTATATAAATGACGTATGTAAAATAATTAAAATCATTTTATTCTTAATTACATTTCGATGGAAATATCAAATGTACAATCAAACACGACTCAATTACAAGGTTATATGCACGTACTCGTTACGTTCAATAAAGTTCTACGTAGATCACGACGAACGCTCACTTCAAATGTTACTGTTTAAATTATAGAGTATCTATTATTTTTATTTTTTATAAACAGAGTAAAGCCCTTTGGAAGGGAGTTAATAACAAAATAAATTTGGCTTACTAACTAAGATTACTTTGGCTTGTTAAGGATAAAGTTGTTAATTTTAATATCAAATCTGCAATAGAGAGGATAACTTCACGATTAGTTAATCCAAACTATTATAACAGACAAAACAATGTAGTATATATAACTGAGTCATAGAAGTCACCCTACAACTATTACGAAACCTTATTCGCAATAAATAGACGCGTAACCAAAGAATATAGTAAAATGATATCATAACAGTTGGACACTAAACAATTGATACCTAGGCAGCGCACACTGCGGAACAAATAATCGTTGGAGCGTACTACATGTACCAACTTCATTTATGACAACTATAATAAAACGTCACGGTTAATATGGATAAACTTGATGCAATCACACACATCAGTTTCCAAATTATAAAATATCTAACTAGAGTAGCGCAGCGACCCAAAATGAGCCTTGGCCTCTGACAATACGATTCACCTTCCGCGATCTTGCAACACCTCGACTCAAACTTAGACGTAGAATTGCTGAATATTCGGGCTTCGTATGTGAATAAATTAATTGCTTTCTTAGAGATTGTTGGAATGAGAATAAACTATTATGGTTCTTGTATTAAAAGAAGATTTTGTTTACTGACGTAATCTTTTCCAATTGAATCTTTTGTTAATATATTCAACGCGATCGACCGGTGCGGGTTGATGACATCAGAAGATCGTGAGATTGCCATTATATATTCTCTGTTGTCCCTCCCCTATCCTATCAGTCGCCTTCTCTGGCATACTTTGATAATGGGATGTAATATTTTCAACGTAATTTAATACTGGTAAGTGTTTTTGCAGTTGTTAAGGTTTATGGTGCCTTAATTAAAGTATACATTAAAATAATAGTAAATTTAAACATAGGGAACTCCGAAAAAATCATAAATCTAATATCAATATTAAGTAAATTAATGTGGAATACCGAAGAACCAAATAGATTACAATGCTGCCCAAATATAAGTAATTTTTTACACTCGTATAACTGGTATTTCTTAATGTTTATCATAATTGAACCGTAAAAATAATAACATAAACCACTACAACCTACATCCAATACCTACTAAAACATTGTAGTCAATTAAATCTGATAAAGACGAAACGATTACCTAAGAAAACAAAATTTTACTAAATATAAAAGTAAAATAAAAAAAAATCCATCACTGCCTGTCCTAAAAAGCGAAAGAGTGAAAATCCTTTGTAAGAAACACAACACGCCCAGCTTTTCAGGATTCATGATGAGACAGTTTTTTCTGCATCTAAAATTCGTAAGCTAAAATACGAAAGGATCTTATACTCGTAGATTGAGTCTACAGCTGGATTAAAAATCATTCATAATCAGAATTACAGAGCTTATGTGAAGAAGTTCAATAGTTAATACATTCAGGGAATCGAGTTAGTAGGTTCCTTACTTACGTATCTACACCAACAGCTATATTGAGGATGTAGCCTACATTTATAAGGCTGTTTACTGGCAAGCCTATTCATCTAAGTGTTATGTCGATTTCCAACATTTAGTACAAATACAACCGTTATTACAAAATATATGTGTCACAGTTACGAAGCTTAAATTTTGGGTTGACATAATCAACCTATCTTCGACACTTAATTATCAGAATTATAGGTACATATATGCATGGATAAGCACTTTAACAAAGACAACTCCTATTTTTATAGGAATGACGTAAATTAGTTCCTTCATTGATTCATAAATTAATTAATAATACGGTGGTTAAATAAAATTGTACAACGATACGTTCTACAGCATTTGCAGTCTTTGTTCTGTTGTGAATATTAAAAAATGAGAAAAATGCGAGAAGATAACATGGTAGTGATTTTAATTACAATGACTGCCTTTGTTCTTACATTGTTCGAGATTTCTGAAAATATGTTATGTGAAAAAATTGTCTTTATTGCGTCTATTCTCGCAACAAAAATTTTAAACGAATGTACAAAATATTTATAATAGTATTGTCTTATTCGATAAAACGTACGCCAAAACAATTAAGATACCAATTAACTAATTACAACATTCAATGAATACGTCCTTGGCAATGATTTAGAACTACCTGCAACCGCAGTGTTGTAAGTATTGCTTGAACACTCACCTTCGACATAATCGTTATATTCACTTCGTCCTCTATAACACAGAAACGCCTTTCTCCCACTCTTCCATATTGAAGAAGGCTCAAAGAGGTCGGTATGAGACAACAAAAATCCTATCGAACACTGTTTGACCCGCGCGAATATTCGTATAGCATTTTCGAGACGCCGTATCGCGGCGGAGGCCCGATCAATACTGGGTATGTTCGGTGCCGGCGGATAAGGTAAAAACGGAGTTGAGCACGCGTGCGCGCGCAAACTGTTGTTGACTGAAGCGCATGTGTAAATGCGTTGTGATGAGTGGTCCAGCCCCTGGCCTGGCCCTACGCCACTCCATCCATACGAGGTTATCAGCGGATGACTTTAATTGAAGTCTTAGACGGGTAATTACATTGCAGTATCAATTGCAACTGAATGCAAAAACGGGCCGGCGCGGCGCGTTCCTACGTTACGAAGGATTACGAAATGGAACGTCACCGGTATTGCGTTGAACATCATATCGCGCCGGTGAACTACTTTAACTGAGATATTTTACTAAAGACATTGCGATATTTCTATGAGATTTATGGATAAATGTAAAATAAATATGATAAGTACTACGAATTTGATCACTTTGATGGTAGCATTAACCTGATCATCGGCAGGCGACGCACAGTCAAAGAAAATTTATTTAGGGGTTCTTTATCACTATTCGTGATAAAAGTAAATACGTATAACATACTATTTGATTCTTTAAAAAAAACTCATATCTTCAGTTGGATGAATTTAACATCTCCAGCATCAGCATCATTTTCTTATTTACGTTTTTCCAATCTCCGGAACAGCTCTTTTCTCGTAAGGTCTTTAACAGACAAGGGCAGACACACAAGCTGAACCTAACCGTTTCTTCAGTTTATCAATCTAAGGTACCAAAATGCTTTAGTCGAATCCTAACGTAGTGCTTAACTCAGTTAGACAAGTAAACAGTAATTAAAAACCATCATATTACGCAATAATATGTTCCTTATTTTATTGATTTACAAGACATTTGTGTAATGAAGGCGGTTATTGCGGTTTTATACTCCAGTTTTACGTAACTTTAATACTACGTGTTTACATTTAATTGTTTTGTTATTAAAATTTTGTTTGAATTATTTTACTTTTTAACATTTTGAAATCAAAGTTCTTAATTCCTCAAAATTTATATATAGAGTCAAGTTAGAAAAACCACTGTAACACGTTCTAAGCTGTATACTGCGTATTTAGTATACGTTTATGTTATAACAATCGACAAGTAGTTTTTGACATATTCTTTACAGACACAGCGTACCCTCCAGCCACCCTTGGTTACGCTTGCTCTCCCAAGGGGGTGGGTGCCAGAGGATAAAACGTGAAAATCCTATTTGGATTTTGGCGGTAACATCATTAGAGTTTCCACCTTCAAAATATTAACTTTTTACCACATTTTACTGACAAATATACATTTTTATTCTGAAACACCATTTGTCATCTTGTTATGTCAACATGTCAATGTCAATTTAGTTCACTTGTCAATGTTAAAAAATCGCAAGTGTGTTTACGAAAGTGATTCTAATACTTTTTAAATAATATCCAACAAATAACTTAAATATAGTTTATATTAACAATTTCTAAAAACTATTTGACTAATAGCTCTTAAAACTGCTTTACAAAATAAAATAAATCGATTAAAAACAGTACTTATAATGTAAAAATCCAGCCGTATTGGAATAAATACTAGTCATGACTACCTTAACTATTCAAGATGTTTTCTGTTTCGGATCAAATAAATCGAGCAACAAAAAAATTGACAAAGAAGGTGTTCTACCCTTTATTATATTACCAATTTTATTACTATGTGCCACTATATCCCTAACGATAACCATAATAATTATGATTGTTATTGGCATGGGAGCATTATATGTTCAGACAAGACCACGTCAAAAGAACAGGTGTGTATATAGTAAGTGTAAACAATATAAAATGCTCGCGACTTCGCCCGCGTAAAAATACTCACAGATAAATTACCTTTTTAACAGTGAAAGAATTTTTTAAATCGGCCTAGTAATTTTTGAGTTATTTCAATACATACAAAAATACAAATCTTTCCTCATTGGTCATATAACTCATTATTCAACACTATTATTGTTCTTTGTTAATTTCAGATCACCATTCTTTTTTTCTTGGACCTTGTCATCTGGAGTTTGGATGTTTCTTATATTTGAAATTGCTATATTGAGATTACTTGAAATAACACAGTTGGAACACTTTGTTTTTTTAGTGCTGTTGACTTGCACATGTTATTTCTTCTACAAAGTAAAAGCAATAGCGGATTTTGAACTAGCGACTGGCTCATCAAAGGGAAAAGAATACAGGTATTATAATAAATTAGCTTATGCCCACTATTCCTTCTGCAGAGAAAAAAAAAACACTTAGTACATAGTCTATGTGTCCTTACAGACTATGTTCTACATCTGTCCCAAATTTGATCAAAACCAGTTAAATTGTTTTGGAGCTGCATAGTAACAGACACCCATTGATCTATCCAAACTTTCATATTTAAATTATAGTATGAGTTGTTTATTTATTTTTTCTAATCACCGATACATCAAATTGAAAAAAAAACTTACATAAATATTTAAACTTAATAATTTTAAATGTCATATTATTCTATTTCTGTGCTTTATGTAATACAATAACTTTTTATTCTGTGCATATAGTTTAAATTGGTTCAGTTTTCAATTACTTTACAATGGTTTAAAACATACATAAATATAACTTAAGAATGTTTATTGTTTATTTTCAGCCCGGTGTTAACATCAGACTCACATTACTGTCAAGTTTGTCAGATAGAAGTTAATGATAGATTTTTTCACTCAATTTGGTGAGAATGTTATTACTAACTTACACTGAATAATGTTAGTATATAAACTACTATGTTGTTTTCTAATAATTCATACATTTTAATTTTTTTATGTGAACAGGTGGAATTGTTGCATCTTACGACAAAACTATATTTATTTCTTTGTTGGGCAATTCTTCGCGTTGACAACAATTCTGCTCGGAACTAATTTAGGTCTTACAACAATATGTCAACCATTTCTACTGTATGGCATTATTTTGTTGCCTCAAGACTGTCAAGATGTGTACTTTGAATTTCAGTAAGTAATTTTTTATAATTCATATTTGAAGATTTTTAATAATCAATTTAATGTGGACAAACAAAAATATGTAACTATAATTATTGTATAAAAATTATTGAACCTTAGCAATGCACTGATTACATAAGTTTCTTGCATTATTTATGTGTTGAGGGAATTCCCCAATTAAAATTGATTTAACAGAGTGCATCTTGGCAGAAAATAAAAAGTCTTTGAGCATATAATGTGTGTCATTTTAAAAGTATATTTAACATGTTTTATTATATTTACAGACTAGCAATATCGTTTGTTTGCTGCGTGTATGGATTGGGATACACCTGTGTTGTAGCCTTTGTATTGATACGGCATTTATTTGTATTTATACCGAAATATATGGGTAAGTGTTATTTTTAATTTTAAAATGGTAGTTGAGATTATTTATAAAGTTATTGTATTTAATTTCCAGCGCCGCAGTGGAAGAAATTGGTAAATACGACAGTGTGATATAATCACAATATTTATGCTATATACATTTCCAAAGAAAAATAATTTTAATACTAATTTATCGGAAGTAGCAATAAAATGTGTAATAAGACTTAAGAATTAACATAAAAGATAAAAAATGGGCATAATAAGTAAGTAGTCATTTTAATGTTACAATATTTTTACATTTAGTAAAAGCTTGGCTTCTTGGTGTATTACTAATAATCTAAAATGATTATTATTGTAAGCAATGTTTGTAATTTAATATTATTGCCCTTTTATTTATTTTTTCGATGGCAACTTACATAGTATAGACAATATATTCCAACACATATAACATACAATTCTTAAGCATATCATCATGGTTCAAGACTTAAAAAACTTTAATATAAAATAACGAAAATAATGAAATAAGTTGTAAATTCTAACTGAATTAAATATGAATATAAAACTATTTATTTGTAAGTACTTAACTTGCTTCTACTTAAAAAAGATATGGCCCTAATAGTTTATACTTGAAGTGCGATGTATGCTAACTCAGCTTATGGGGTAAAAAAAATGTTTTATGACACCTTACTGTTCAGTAGTCGTTAACACGTACTACCTACAAGGCAAGGTGCACCATGTCATTCCATAAGCATGTAAGTGGGAAAGAGAGAGGTATATGAGCTATTCTACTCTAACACTTTGTTGCTCTTCAATTAAAGCAAAAAATACAAGCTTTTCTCTCAATTATAACAGGTTTCAAGGCAATTACACTACGTATAACTATCAACTACCTTTTACTACCATTACTACTACTAATAATACTACTTACTACCATTTTTTACCATTCTTTTTACCATTTTACCATTCTTTCTGCATAGTATTAAATCATTGTATAAGATTCCATTACATTTAGCGTGTAGAAAAATTGTGTTAATTTTACCATCATATTTATGCGATTTATATTATTTTTGTATTACATGAAAATAAAATCTTAAGAAAACAAGTTAGTTTCTTTTAAATTTTTTAATCTACTAAGAGAGTATTTTAACACGACGAAAAAAGAAACCAATAGAATTAAGTGGAAAAACAATAGTGAGCAAACTCTAAAAATCGTGTTTATGTATTATGCTTAAAATTACAAACAATTCCCTTAAAAATTAAAAGGTATACTTAATATTTAAAACACATCTAATACAGATAATGTAACGGTTTCTGAACTACTCTTCAGGGGGTTTATAATCTGGCACAACTTGCAACACTTTTTCCCGCCATCGTAACTTTCTGACTTCTTGTTCTCTTATTAAAGCATTTAGAGCCGGCAATGCCCTCCAACACGTAAATGTTTTGAAAAGTAGATTACTGCAATAATAAAATTGATGATTGTAGAAATATACAGTATTTAAAAGGCAAAAACAGGGCCAAAAAAAAATGCACTAGTCAAAACATTTTCAAGGTCCTAGTCCAATCGGTTAGTGTTGTCTATTAAGCGTACCTGTTATGATAAAGTTCAGCCTTGTACCATTTGATCTGATACTCTTTTTTAATTAATTCAATCCCTTTACGAAAATCGCGAAACACCAGTTGTGTTACATATAAATCGTAATAATCTTCGGCCACTTGAAATTTCAATTTATAATTACGATGATTCTGAAAAAAAAAACAGAGTATCTTTTTAATATGTCTTTCTTTTGTCATTAAGTCATATAAAATTACTTATTACCTGTTTAAAAGAGTCGAACGTTTTGCGTAATATTTTTTTTCTATGGAAATCTTCCGCTTTGTAATTTCTTTCCAACCACATATCTTCTGTATGCCATAACCAATGCAAAAATACATTTTTCTTAACTTGGAAAAAGTAATGTGATTTAGCCTTTTCCATATTTTCTAGCTTAATTGCCATTAGTTTCCTCAAAGGGTTAATTCCGTACTTTGCCATTAAATTTTTTTCATAATGTAAATCCGCCATCACAATGAGAGCCCTCATTCTTTCTGCGTGTTGTTTTTTTCTTATGTTTTCTATTTTTTCCTTCTTTCGTTTCTCTCTCAATTCTTTCATTATTTTTAACTTTTCTTCTTTGTCCATTTCGGCTTTAGCCAATTCAGACTAAAACAAAAGTTTAACTAAATATTTCTATTAAAAAAAAACATAAATTGCCGTGCTACCGAATATTCACCTGCTGTTTTAGCCTAATCCGTTCTTCTTCCATCTGCCGTCGTCTCTCTCGAATCATCGCATGCTTTTCCTCGCGTTCTCTTGCTCTTTTCTCCATACGTTGTATAAATTGCGGTACCTTTAAACAGTGAAGTACTAAAGCTGGTTCTGGAATGAAAATTCACACTTTACATGCTGTTATTATATACGAAATAAAACTTAACTCCAAGAGGACCAAAATTTTGGTGCTATACGAAATTTTATATCTCGATTTCCTTACTAACTTAAAGTATAAATCATATTTCTTCGTCCTATTACCTTCTATTTCTCGTATCTTTAATTCATTCGTTAAACATTTGATCTTCGGCTTTAGTTGACGATCAATTTGGTAATACGTTTTACAAATTTCGTCTCGCATTGTTTCCAACGACTTCTTAGATGATTCGACTATCTTGTTATATTTAAGTTGTTCTATAATTTTGTTTTGTTCATTTAACTTCATCTTTTGTAAAGCAATAATATTCTGTTGCACTTTGTACCTAATGAAAGTACATAAAAAATTAAAGACATTTAGTAAAGAAACTCAGTTATATTGGCATGTACTGCTTATTGAAATATTGCGACCTAGCAGAAAGAAAAAGCTGATGAGGAGTAAATTATAGGGACTCTAAATATATTAGTTGGAGATAATTCTGAACCTACAAAAATCATTTTTTGTTCGTACCTGTGTTGGTACGTGTTATAGTCCCGAACATGCAATTTAGTTTTATTGACAGATTCACTCGACTGTTGCGAACTATTCTTTTTCTCCGTCAATTTGTCGAAAAATTTATTGATAGCAATTTCTCTTTCTTTTATCTGTCTCTTTGTATCTGCGTAAATTTTCCATTTTTTTAAATACTTCTTCTCCAAAAAGTTATGTCTATTCTGCGCTTCAGTTCTAAAAGGGATAATACACAGTACTTCTGATATTTTGGCGTTATCTTGTTTAAGTGTAATGGGAATTTGATTATCATTCTTAGTTTCCACATCTAAATCGTTTCTTTCATAGGTAAGTAACGAAACATCGTCTTTTTCGGTATTGTCTACGTTAGAATCTATAGCCATCATAATTAAAAGAGATTGTAAATCAGTACGATGTTCGTTAATATTGCTTGCAGGTCTTATGTTGTCGTCAGTATTTTGTGTCTTAATATTATAGTTAAAATCTACATCATTACTAACACACTTTATTTCATTAGATATATTCTGTACTAATTTGTTATCCTGTGTGATTTTTCTCTTTTTGTTAACAACACCAGCATCGATATTATCTTTTCTCTGCCTCATTTTATTGTTTCCGTTATTAGAAGGCTTCTGCGGCTTTATCTGTGGTTTAAAACTGGCATCGTGTTTTACAATTAAATCTTCAGAATTGTCGCTACTAAAATCAAAAATATCGTTTTCGGTTTCCTCGTATTTCAAGATTTGTTTCTTCAGATTTGGTTTACACCTTTCTATTTTTTTCATATTATTCTTAAAACAAATCTCATTACGTAAATTAAGCTTGTTAAAATAATTTCGCAAATTAACTATATCTCTGTTCATGTTTGACTAGAGCACTTAAATTTTTTCCTGGAATTATCCACAAAAATAACATAGTTAAATTAAAATCAGTCAATTTAAAAAAATATTATCCAAAAATGTGAGAACGCTAGTATAAATATTACTTTTATAATTGTTGAATTAAGTTTAAGGATACATCAATAAAAACATACCACAGTATTCCTCAGGTTTAAACAAGTGGGTCCCATATATAGGATTATATAGAGATCGTATTATTACAGTGGTTCCTTACGGTGTCCTTAAGTCTTAAAATGTATTGATTTAATAACTTTTGCGCTTGGTAAAATTAAATTCGAAAAACAGTCGTTGCTGCCATGGCAACATGGCATTTCAAGAAGCAAGATTGAATGGATTGAAATGAAACTTTTTATAATATAAGCAGCGTATTCATAAATTCAAAAGATTAATATTTGAAAAACTATACTATGTACTTTATTAAACTTAGCTAAATGTAATTAGCTTTTGTCTGTTGTGTGGATGCTACTGCGGCCTTCGTTCCTTTCGTTTTCCTTTTAAAAAACTGGGAGTACTTGTGTTTTAATATTAGTTGTATCTTAAACATAACAGTAGTGCGGTTACAGTAGAACGGTTGTAGATTTGTTCTATAAAATAATTTATCATGTTTAAGACTACTTTAAAATGAAGTTGCATATTTCCAAGTAAAAAACTACCAAATCTCCACAACTATATGGCAACCAATGTCCAAGCAAAAGAAACACGTTTGACATTTGATTTGACACTGACAGATAAATAATGCAGCTATTTGATTTTTACTTTCTTAATGCAGGTTTCTATTTGTGTTTTGTATTAAAGTAATTTAAGTTATATAATACTGTTTGAAATAATCGTTGAATCTATATATTCAAAGAGCAAATAAAATGTTTTTATTACTTGAAATACCTGTATTGAAGTAACTAAAGAAGTAAATATTTGATCAGTGCATTACTACTGCAGTGAAGAAAGTTGCATATGAAAAAGTAAATGTATCTGCCCCTTTACAATGTATACGAAAAGAGATGTGTGGTTAGAATCTCTGTATCTAAATTGGGGTTCTTTACTGTACTACTGCCATTACTTGCTTTTATAATGTGCATAATATTGACAATGTATAAAGATTTCGATAGAGCAAATCACACACATTGCAATGTACCAAATATATTTCCGTCAATATCTGCATCTATTGGAAATTATGAACCGCAAAGAACAATTTGGAAGACTGCCATTTACCTCCATGCACCTATTAGATTCTTTATAATATATTTGCGATGGAAATATTATAGGGAAATTATATTAGATTCATTTGCTGTTATAGTTAATGTAGCCGTATCCTTAAATGTAATAGAAAATTTATCACTAGTTGGCCTGACTTATTGGACTTCATCTCTTAATTACCGTAAGTAATTATATTTATTATATCAAATACATAATTCCTTCGCAATGATAAGTTTTGATAAGATCCATGTCTCGTGTATAAATTACTTTAAAAATCATCATTTTCTGTTTGTTAACATTTTTGGATTTACCAATTTTTTTTCAGCATTTCATGAAGTATGTTTCAAGACATTTATTGGAACTTCAATATTTTACATGTTGATGACAAGCATACTGTTAACGCAGTATCGTAGGAAGTCTCACATGACTCGTTTAGAGAGGAACTCTGTTAAATTAAAATGGAGAACATTTTCAATCAATGTTGTATCATTTACAATTGCAGCTTACTTTTTTTTAAGACACAACAGATTATGTGAACCCTATGGTAAGCATGACAAACACCATATTTGTATATGGCTTTTTATTCTTTTAAAATAATTGAAATGTAAAATTTGTAGTCTCAATTTTTTTGTTGTACTGAGTACTGTGTAGATATTATGTAACTTGATTTTTTTCACATTTCAGTATACTCAATGTTCGGGTTTTCTGAATATATTGTTGTGTTCAGCAACATTGCATTCCATATGACAACGGTGTATGATTTGGAAAGGAAAAATATTTATCTCAGTCCAAGAGGTATAACATTAGAATAAAATATGCAAGACAAAAGATATACAATCTATTATTATGATGCCAATTACTTTATAGTGACTTTTTGTTATTTAGATATTTGAAGCTTGAGATTTAGGCTGCAGTTGACTATTTTTGTAAATCAATCTTTTAGTTAAAATTTTTTTTTTCAATCATTTTATAGATAGCTAAATAACTTATAATAGCCACATAATATAAGATTTTGGCTTACTTTTAGTATTACATATGTACTTACTACGGCAACTTTTATAATTTTTGTTTTCTAATGTTATTTTTAATCTTCCATGTGGTCTTCCTTTATTCATAGATTTGTAGATAAATTGTAAATGTACAATAATATTATATGTGACAATCTTATTTGTATTTTTCTAGTGATGCAATAAAATATGGTTAAGTAAAACATTTTTTATTAATTATATTTAATAACAAAAATATCAACAATATATCTTTCATAAAAAATATAACATAACTTTGTACATATTAATTGAGTAAAATAATTGTATAGACTAATTAAAATATTCGAAGAAAAGTAATTACACTTAGTAATAATTAAACAGATAACAATACAACATGATTTTTAAATTTACACAAGTATAAATAAGCTAATTACATACCTTTTCATATTTTTCTTATTCAGATATATGCCTTTCCGAGAAAAAATAACCTTTAAAAGCGTAATGATTAGGTGAAGTACCTTTGTTCTTATAAGACAAGACTGTGTGTCATTTAGCAATATTTTAAACTAACCTGCATTAAATCAACTACAATGTGACTTGTAAGACTAGAAAACTTCTTAACTTTTCTATCCACATATATTTTTATAATTTAATTTCATAGCCGAGTAATTTTGTATAATTTAAATTCTAAAATAAATGCAACAATGGTGATATTTAGTACACTATAATGCAGAAGCAGTTGATTTATTATTAACAAACATTCACAATTAACTTTTGAATCTGCCGTTAATTAAAAAAAAAGTGTAACATTTAATGAACAATATTTCTATCTGTCTTTACCAAAAGTATTATAGTGATAGGCATACAATTGCCATATAAGTTGAAATTCACTATAATAATGATAAAACTACATCCTGCATAAACTGCATTTGTTTACTGTAAAAGAACATGTTAACTTTATCACAAACTATTGTATAATTGTGTCATAAGTCATGATAACAAACTTGTCATCAAAGAAGATAAGATTTGTCATTAAAAATACATAAAACATTACAGTTGTACTAATATTAATACATTATATATTTATTCTGTATGGAATTTTCCTGTGCATTACATTACCTATTCTCATATAACATTAGCCTGATAACAAAAGTTACACTTATAAAGTAAGTAGTGTAATAAATAAACATGATATAAAAACAACTTGCTATAGTTTGAACTCTTCTTCCATCTTGTCTGCTATCATTTTAGCGATAGCCAATGATGAGGTGGCACCAGGCGATGGGGCATTTCTACAGTGCAGCACTCGGCTACCTATCGCCCCAGATCCAGGTTGAGAATCAAACACAAAATCTTCTATCAAAGTACCTAAAATTAACACATAATTAAATATCAGATCAAAATTAACATTGTGTCATATAACATTTTTAATGCAAATATTCTGTAAACCACAAATATTGTACACAAGTTGGCATGAGAATTTGTACAGGAAAAATTCCAGGTATGTTATTTAATTGCTAAAACAATACCTTGGAAAAACCAATGTCATATATACTCTTTATAACTATTATCCTTATATTTTATTGAAAAAATGTAGGCATGCTTACCATCTTTTGCCATAGCTTGTGCCCTAACTCCTGCCGGCCCTCTTTCTACATCAGCACTAGTTATGTTTTGTATATATTTTTGTATCTGCATCACTTGGAGTGGCATAATGAGTGATCTAGTCATTTCTTTTAGCCCAAAACTTGCATATTTTAAAGCCATCCTTTGAAACCCAGAAAATCTAATGATTTCTCTGAACTCCTTCATATTAACATCACCCCATCTGAAATAGAATGGAGATTTATGAATAGTTTTTAATAATTATGTAAATGTATTTAAGATTATAATATAACATACCTGTATCCTTCTTTACAAAATGCTAAGATAGCATTTGGTCCAACAATAACTCTGCCATCAATTTTTGGTGTTAAGTGTACACCGAGAAAAGGAAATCTGGGGTCAGGTACCGGGTAAATATTGGCATTTGCAATTTTACTTTTACTAGGCTTTAAGTACAGGTATTCACCTCTGAATGGAATTATTTTAGGCTCTTCAGGACATCCAGTCAGCACTGCTACTTTATCAGATTGTAAACCGCAGCAAGTTAACACATACTTAGCTTCTATTTTGTCACCTTTTGAACTATTTATAATAACAGGGTGCTCAGCGCCTTCTGATTCAATGAACTTGGTTACTTCAAAGTTAAGGTAACTCTTCCCACCACATTCCTCAAAGTCTTTTACATAGGAATTTGTCACTACACCCCAGTCAACAATACCTGTGTGTGGGGACCACAACGCTTCCAGTCCCCTACAATTTGGTTCTAATTCACGCATCTCTTTAGAATCCATTAGTTTTATATCCTTAACACCATTTTTAACTCCTCTATCATACAAATCAAGAAGGCGGGGCACTTCAGACCTTTGTGTAGCTACAATGAGTTTCCCACATTTTGAATATTTGATACCTTTCTTGTCAAGGTATTGGTAAGATAAATTAAGGCCTTCTACACAAAGTTTTGCTTTCAATGAACCAGGTTTGTAGTAAATGCCAGCATGAATTACACCACTGTTGTTTCCGCTTTGATGGCATGCAAATCTATTTTCTTTCTCAACTACTGCTATCTTCAAAGTCGGATGTCGTAATATTAATTCACGAGCAGAAGCAGATCCTACGATTCCTCCTCCAATCACAACAATATCATAACTGTGATGCTTCTGATCACTGTACCTAAAAAAGTATTTACATATTTATATTATAATGTCAATGCCCCACAAGGTTACTTTCAATTGCTATAGTTACTTACCTTCGTGTTACTGCATAATTTAAAAATCCTGTACATTGAAAGATTTTAGAGGACAACATTGGTATCAACACAGCACTTTTATTTATGAAAGACATTTTAATTATCTTAAGACGACTTTTCTTTATAAAACCGTTAGCCTATCTAAAATTACACTTAAAGGTACGATTCGATATTTGTAAGATTCGATCAAGATATTTCCATCACAGTTGTATTGTATCACACTATTTAATGGTTATGACAAACGATAAGACGATAAGGGTCAAGTATTTATAAATTTATATAAGCAACTCCGTCTTATTATTTGTATCGTCCGTCAGACAATATTCTTTATTACTTATTTTATTTTTTATTTGTGTTATAAAAATGACAAGTGTGATATGAAAACAAAAAAGTACAAGGTTAAAATAAACTAGTGATGGGACTCGAGTTGCTTTTTACTCGAGTGACTCGAGTCATTTTTTTCTTACTCGGACTCGAGTGAAATTTTTGACAACTCGAGTTGCGAGTGACTCGAGTTGACTCAAGTTACGAGTGACTCGTAATCACTTTGTTGGTTTATACCAAGCGGAGTAAGAAATTCTTACAGCAATTTCAGTTAATTTTTTTAATATCTCTAAAAATACATAATGGGG